TATTTTCCCATATTTTCCCATATTTTCCTATATTTTCCCATATTTTCCCATATTTTCCCATATTTTCCTATATTTTCCTATATTTTCCCATGTTTTTTTCCCATATTTTCCCATATTTTCCCATTTTTTTCCCATATTTTCCCATATTTTCCCATATTTTCCTATATTTTCCCATATTTTCCCATATTTTCCCACATTTTCCCATATTTTCCCATATTTTCCCATATTTTCCCATATTTTCCCATCTTTTCCCATCTTTTCCCATCTTTTCCTGTATTTTCCTATATTTTCCCATATTTCCCCCTGCTGTCCCATATTTTCCCATATTTCCCCCTGCTGTCCCAGATTTTCCCATATTTTCCCATATTTTCCCATATTTTCCCATATTTTTTCATATTTCCCCATATCCCCCCATATTTTCCCATATTTTCCAGTGGTCCCCAGCCCCAGCCCCAGCCTCACGTGGCGCTGTCCTCGCTGCAGTTGGAGTCCCCGACGTCCACCGTGGCGTGGACCCCGAAGGTTTTGTCGGTCAGGTCCAGCTGGGTGTGGTTCTGCAGCCTGATCATGATCCTCTTGGCCCAGAAGAGGATGCAGGGGGTGCCATTGACGGTGACATTCAGGGGACTGTGGTGGCCGTGGGGCGGTGGCCTCCAGGGCTCTCTGTCACCCTGTCCCATCCCGGTCACGTTGTAGCCGACAGCCTGAAAAAGGACAGGACATATTTTTGTCACCAGCTGTGATTTCAGCATTGTCACCTGGTCAGGACACATTTCTGTCACCTGGTGAGTGAGGTGACACATTCTGTCACCAGGTGTGATTTCAGCATTGTCACCAGATGTGATTTCAGCATTGTCACCTCCCCAGGACACATTTCTGTCACCAGGTGTGATTTCAGCATTGTCACCTCAACAGGACACTCGAGAATGTCATTTCAGCACTGTCACCTCCCCAGGACACATTTCTGTTGCCAGGTGTGATTTCAGAATTGTCACCTGGTCAGGACACTCGAGGATGTGATTTCAGCATTGTCACCTTCCCAGGACAGATTTCTGCCACCTTCCCAGGACACATTTCTGTCACCAGATGTGATTTCAGCACTGTCACCTCCCCCCAGGACACATTTCTGTCACCAGGTGTGATTTCAGCATTGTCACCTCCCCAGGACACATTTCTGTCACCTGGTGTGATTTCAGCATTGTCACCTCCCCAGGACATATTTCTGTCACCAGGTGTGATTTCAGCATTGTCACTGGGTCAGGACACATTTCTGTCACCAGGTGTGATTTCAGCATTGTCACCTCACCAGGACACATTTCTGTCACCAGGTGTGATCTTAGCATTGTCACCTCCCCAGGACACATTTCTGTCACCAGGTGTGATTTCAGCATTGTCACCTCCCCCCAGGACACATTTCTGACACCAGGAGTGATTTCAGCATTGTCACCTCCCCAGGACACATTTCTGTCACCAGGTGTAATTCCAGCATTGTCACCTCCTCCCCAGGACACATTTCTGTCACCAGGTGTGATTTCAGCATTGTCACCTCCCCAGGACACATTTCTGTCACCAGGTGTGATTTCAGCATTGTCACAGCACCAGGACACATTTCTGTCACCAGGTGTGATTTCAGCGTTGTCACCTCCCCAGGACACATTTCTGTCACCTCTCCAGGACACATTT